ATAGCCGGATATCATTAGTATCCAAAGAGGTTATATATATAGAATAGACAAGGCATAGGGCCCCTGTAAGTGGAAATGTTAGATAGTAGAAAAGGAAAGAATACGGGATGACCAGGGTTGGACATGTATTAAACATAATGTATTATACATGGTTTTTATACCGTATAATACCGTATGTTATACGTATTATACGTACGTTTTATACGTTTTATATGTATTATACGTATTATACATACGTATTAGGGTGATGTCCCATGCAGCGGATCGTGCGTAAGCGGATTCGCGTATCGCCAATCACAGATAAATTTTCACGAGCTGTTCTAACCGACTGTTTTAGCGACAAAAAGGATCACGTGATCAAAATGGACGTTTGATATTCGTCAATTTTGACCACGTGATTCTTTTTGTCGCTGAAACAGCCGGTTTGAGCAGCTCGTGAAAATTTACCTTTATACGTAAGAAACTATTCGCAGCTGGGTGGCACCCAGTTGGACACGACTCAATTGGACACGATGAGCCACTCACAGCGCTTGAGACTACGGCTGTGTTCCAAAATTGTTTGTCAGCGCTGCGAGCATGTCGTCATAAGTGCATGCTACCAATAGTGTTCCAATTTCATAAGCATGCTTTTCATGCAAACGCAGCTTTCATTTTGGAACGATATTTTCAGTGCTGTCAGCATAATGGCGTGTGTACACGATGCTAGAAATCGGTCCGAGAAGAAAGAATTGACCAATCGCAATGGTCATGTGATCAAATTGTTCATGACAATTTCGGATTCTCGGACCGATTTCTAGCATCGTGTACACACGCCATAATAGTAATGAGGAAGTTAAGGAAGTTAAGGAAACGGTATATACCATTGATGTTTCGAGGATAGTCAAAAACCAGTTTGTTCATAGATGGAATCAGATTTGTAGATTGTTAAACAAAATTTTATGCAAAGCTAAATGATTGTATTGAGAAATAATGTACATATTTTGTTAACGCCTATTGTATGTGAATAAAATAAATTTACTTTTTGATTTCCTCTTGTACATAGGTTATGTCAATTTTTGTATTTGAATTCGAAATAAGAATAAATAAGTGTGACTACAAAAAGCAGACTACAAAAAAATTATAAATCTACTCACTACTTCTTGCTTTTTTAGCATCTTCTACAGAAACACTGATAGCGTTTTCGGCCCGATCGGGTTTGCACCAACCTGGGTTGGATTAATCTTTCCTATTGGTTGATGTCACACGCTCTACCAATAGGGGAGCGCA